CTATTGGAGGGATTCAAGATTAGTGCAGCCACTATGGAAAACAGCATGGAGGTTCCTCAAAAAATTAAAAATGGGCCTTAGCCTGGTGTGGCTCAGTTGGTTGAGGGTAGTCCCCTGCATCAAGAGGTCCCAGATCGATTCCCTGTCAGGGCACATACGTGGATTAAGGGCTCGATTCCCAGTAGGGGGCATGTGTGATGCAGCCAATGGGATGGATGGTTCTCTATCTCATCAATGTTTCTCTCTCTCCACCTTTCTAAAATCAAGAAAAAACTTTTTTTTTTTAAATTAAAAATGGAACTGCCTCATGACCCAGAAGTACTACTTCTAGGTACATATCCAAAGAAATCCAAAACACTAATTTGAAAAAAGATATGCTCCCCTATGTTCATTGTAGTGATATTTACAGTAGTCAAGATATGGACGCAACCCCAAGTGCCCATTAATAGGCAAGTGTATAAAAAAGCTGTGGTACATATATACAATGGAATAGTACTCAGATATATATATATTTGGAAATCTTACCATTTGTGACAGCATGGACAGGCCTCGAGGGTGTTATGCTAAGTGAAATAAGTCAGACAGAGAAAGAAAAATACCAAGTGATTTTACTTATATATAAAATCTAAAGAACAAAATAGAAACAGACTCATAGAGAGAGTGAACTGGATGATGGTTTCCAGGGAAGGGGGGTTTTGGGGGCTGGGTGAAAAACATAAAGAGATTAACAAGTACTAATTGATAGTTACATGAAATGTGGAGTACAGCATAGGAAATATAGTCAATAATATTGTAATCATTATGTATGTTGTCAGGTTGGTATTTGAAATAGCAGGGGATCTCTGTGTAAAATATATGACTGGCCACTATGCTGTACATCTGAAACTAATACAAAATAGTGTTGAATGTAAACTATGACTGAAAAATAAAATAAAAAGATCGGCACATACACAGAGGTGAAGAAACAATTAGACATGTTCAAATGACTTCCAATTTAATTCTATCTAATTAACAATATCTCTGAATGATGAGAACATATCAACTTTTAATTTCTTCTTATGCTTCTTTGTTGTTTCTTCATTTCATACATTGAACATGTATTAATTTCGTAATTAGGCAAAAAAAACACTTTCAAAAATAAATTTAATTAGGGACTTTTTGATTGTTGTACCATCTACTCTGGGGGTCTAGGGGATGATGGAGTGTGAGTTGGGCTGCCATCCAAACTATGTCAATTAAGTAAGAATATAGTGATGGTCAATGCTATGTTCTCCTCAGGATCTAAAAGTCCACATAAGATGCTTCATTTTTGAAACCCTTGACTGATAGCAGGCCTCTGATGGAATCATAGGGCAGGAAGAAATCCATGGCTATAGTAGCCCTTCTCTCATTTGTTCTTTTTCTCCTTGTCTTTCTTACAGGGGGTTAGCTGGATTGATTTGGTCCCATCATTTTCATCATAGTAGTACATCCCCGTTCCCTGAATCATGCGATTAAAAGTGTTGGGGGAAGGTGAGCACAAAACCTTATTTTGTTAAGACAGAACTATCAGTTCTTGAAAAGGAACTTCTATCAAGAAATATAAAGAAAAAACAAATAAACAATAAAACAGATGTTTTGCAATAGAGACGCTTTAAAGCATAGGCTTCTATCTTAATCCTGAAATCAGATCTTGGCATATTTCAGTACCCACACAAATTGTGCATTGTTGGTGAGAGCCTGAAGGAAATGTTAGGATTCTGGCAATTCTTGACTATTCTTTTTTGTTACTGTGTTTTTTGCCCTCTTAGGAATTTATGTTTTCCCAAAAGAAAACATAATTAAAGAGCCCCAGTATCTAATATTAATGGACAAGTGGGTAACACGACAACGCATTACTCTATGCTAAGATCTTCAAAGAATCAAACAAGGAATCTGGTGGAAAACGGCAATTTTTAAATTAGTGAAGTACATTAGAATGCATTTTCATTATTATTATTTTTTAATTTTTTCTTTATTGATTTTAGAGAGAAATGAAAGGAGAGGGAGAGAGAGAGGGAAACATCAATAAGAGAGAACATCTCTTGGCCACCTCCTGCATGCCTCTCACTAGGGATTTGGCCCACAACCTGGGCATGTGCTGTGACCTGGAATCGAACTGGCAGCCTCTTGGTGCATGGATTGATGCTCAACCACTGAACCACATCGGCCAGGCTACAACGCATTTTTAATCCATACTTGTATAATAGTACTATTTGATCCATATACCTAAATTTTAGACAATGACTATACAAACTCTTGCTGAATTTCCTCTAACTAAATTCCAATCAAAGTGGCCTGAGAACAAGTGTCCAAGGGGCTTTATCTATGGTTGCTTTTCCTGTCATTGACTCTGGCAATGCTGATACTCAATTTATCCAAGTGTAGTGAGGCCATTATCATCTTTCCCTCCTCTTCTTCTTCTTTTTTTTTTTTATCCTCACCCGAGGACATTTTTCCATTTTTTGTACAGATAGAGTGGGAGGGAGAGAGAGGAAGGGAGAGAGAGAGAGAAACATCGACGTGAAGGGACACATCGAGTGGCTGCCACCCACACGACCAACCAGGGCCGGGGACAAACTGCAACCGAAGTACGTGCCCTTAGCGGGAACCGAACACGGGTCTCTCTGGACCGCAGGCCGACGCTCTAACCGCTGAGCCAAACTGGCCAGGGCCCCTCCTCTTCCTCCTCCTCCTCCTCCTCCTCCTCCTCCTCCTCCTCCTCCTCCTCCTCCTCCTCCTCCTCCTCCTCCTCCTCCTCTTTATCCTCCTCATCCTTCTTCCTATTTTATTTCTAAGTCCCTGAAATCCCTCTGGTCCTGAATATATTATACACAAACCCCTGTAAATCTGAGGTTCCTCAAACCCTTGCCTGCTATAGATCTTCTTCTGAGGGTGTTTATGACTTTGGAATCCTAGAAAATTAGCCCTTACCTTGGAATCATTTGTGGGTTTGTGGAGTTCGTCTAAAGCAAGCCCCTAATTCAGAATTGAGTTAACTGGTAAAACTTGGCTTTAAGTGATTCCCTGGGAAAGTTCTTACCAGAGACCCTAGGAATTGAATGACAGATACCCCCTTCCCGGAGTCTTTATCAGTTGCCTCAGTATCCTCCTCTGGTTAGAATCATTCAAGTCTCTTGTTTAAGAATTTATTTCTCCTTTAAAGTTGCTTCAATCTGTATGAGGAATATCTCTCAGTCCCATTTAGTTCACAGATAAGAGGGATGACGTAGTCTGAATTCTGTGACCAACCAAGTGTTTCTAGTTCAGGTTCTTCTCTCTCCTAACAAAGATCTTTGCTAAATCCTTGAGGAGCTTCAAGGACAGGAATAGAGTGGCCTTCTCTTTCTGGGGAGATGCGGGAGGGCCAGAGAAGGCTTGTATTAGTAGATATCTCTCCCCACTGCTTAATCCCCAAGTGACAATCTTCTTATCCTTAAATTGTGTGGTCTAGTTTGAGATAATCACTTTCATCACATTTCGTCAATGGAGTGGTGTCAAATGGAAAGGGTGGAGACAGTCGGGATATGTGAAGGGGAAAGGTCTGGACACAGGCTGTGTCACAGAGGCATCCCTTCATCTTTTGGATTAGGGACTACCCAGTAACCACCCTGTCAGTGTTGTATTGTCTTGAGTCTACATTGCTTGTAGTAATAATTGTTAGATCCTGAAGTAGGATACTGACATGATAGGTTCCTTGCCTTTTTAAAATGTCGCTATCTAGCATCATACCTATTAACACTTGTCTTCCTGAGGCTTTTGAGTCCATCTGTGCAGATTCCGTTTTGGTTTATTTCATTGTCTTCCAGCTTTCATCTAAAACTGCTAGAACACCTAAAGCCAAATCAGTTGATGAAGGTCATCTATTTCTACTAATTAGAAAATAAGTTACATTGCTTCTGGGTGGGAATCCTACACACGTTTTAAAAAGCCTGATGGGGCAGTTTACCAGGAAGTAAGACTCCAAGAAACCAGAGAAAGAAAATAAAAGAGAGAAGAAAAAACAACCCCCCCAAAACAAAAACAAACAAACAAACCCCCAAAACATCTCAGTGTCCACACAGACTTTTATTTTTGGTGTTTCTAAATTTAAGTGTGTGCTCTTCCTCCTCTTCTCTCTTTTTTTTAAATGTGTGCTCTTTTTTCATATCACTGGCAAAATCGAAGGAGGCCACTCTTATTTTGTGTCTTAAAGAAATCTGGTGATGATTTCTAAATCATCGAAAGCAGAGAGCTTTATAAAGCTTTTAGAAACAATTCGAGTGGGCGTTCCAGGTAACCAATATTGTAAGATACAGATTTGAAATTAGATATTCGGTGGTGGCATGAAGAGGGAGGGCTGCACCAGCACAATGTTTACTCATTCTCTTTCTTTCATACTGTGTGATTCTGAGGGCTCTTAAACCATGATAAGGAAGTACTTACGCTTTGAATTTCTCTAAGGATCTAACTAGAGGGCATCCAATAAGCATTTCTAGGAATTCGGTGTTAACGACCCAGGTAATTCTGATTGAGAAATAAGATTTTACACAGAGAGCTGAGGGAAGCAAGTAAAACCGGTGTGTGGGGTTTGGTCAAAGAAACGCAGAATTCCTAGAGGTCAGGAGACATTATTTTCCACCCTTCTCGCACGCACCCACAGCTCCAGATCTGCGACCAACATGTACCTATGACACACATGAGAAGAAATGAGCGATGGCAGCTGCGAGAGGCTGGGCGGCTCCGCTCGGCGGTCCCAGGCGTCCGCAGGCTGGGAGGCAGAGATAACGTCGCAGGGAGGCTCTGGGCGAGGGCAGGCTCCCCCGGCCTCCCCAGTAGAGTGCCTTAAATCGGCTCGGATCTTCTGAAGCTGCCAGTTGCCAAATGAAATCTGAAACCCCGAGCTGCGTCTGAGGGTTGGCCCCGCTCAGTTGTTCCAGCCTCTTGTACTGTATATTTACTCATTCACACACAATCACTCTTTCTAACTTCTGGGACTCTTCTTTGCGCAACTGCTTGGATTTCTCAAGTGCATGTGGCAACTCAGCCCAGCTCTGGGTGGAAACCGGCAGGGCTCCGGAGGGTCCCTGAGGCCACGGGAGCTGTCAAGGCTGCGGCGGGGACAGGAGAGGATCGAGGCGCAGGCGGCGGGGGAAAACACCCACAACTTTCCACCCCAGCCGCAGCTTTTTCGGCCGCCGAGAATTTCCTCCGAAACCACAGCTGCGGAGCAACCGAGTGCATGGGGCGCAACACTTCCCCTTGTTGTGGGAAGTAAGGGAGTCGTCCCACCCCCTTTATCTCTTTTCTTTTTCTTTCGGCTGGTCCTGGGAGCCTTTCCTTCGGCCGTCCCGTGTCTGTCGCGCGCTCGGAGCAGGGTAGGTGACGCCGCCACCGGGATGTGCACCAGAGCCACTGCGGGAGGCTGGGACGCGGCCTGGGGGGCGCGCGGGGGCTGCGGGCACAGCTGCCCGCGACAGGGGAGGGGGTGGCTGGAGGGCGAGGAAGGACCGCAGGAATCCCGTGCTGGTGCAGAGTGAGTGTGAGTGTGAGTGTGAGTGTGTGTGCGTGCGTGTGTGTGTGTGTGTGTGTGTGTGTACGCGCGCGCGCACGCGCATGATGGAAAACAATGCTCCTTTTAAAATCATTTTCAAAAGGATAAAAAACGGCGCAAGCTGGTAGCATGTGTTTAAAGTTTATTTAGAATTAATTTTACAAACTCTTTATATTTGTAATTCAGTACCCTCCCTTACTATCCAGCCTCTCGTTCCTCAATTGTTTCCGTTAATGTTTTATGTTCGAGTTTTTCTAGATAACAGACATACAGAGGTAGGTTTTAATAGTGAACCTTTTAATTGCAAGCACAAAACATTAGGGAATCTTTGGTAAGTTTTAAGCCGCCCAAAGAGGTTGTCTAGATTTTGCAAACAATAACTTTTGAGGAAGTATCCATTCTGAGGACAAATATGTAATATAGTCTCATTAAAAAGGTAATTTAGACTTGCTTTCTTCTATAAGTCCCCAAATTGGAAGGGAAATAATGTTACTCTGGATTCCTTAGCTTTTCAATACCAACTAGTAAAGGGGAGACCAGACTCCCCTGTAATGTATTTTAATTCATTTGAATTAAAAGATCATCTTTCATGGACACAGATAATGGTGAGGTGAAGGCCTGGGGGGAGGGGTGCAGATGGGGTGGCAGGGTGCAATGGGGAACAAGGAGGGACATCTGTAATATAACAATAAAGATAAACTTAAAAAAGAAATACCTTCTTTAAAAAAAATCATCTCTAAGTAATGATTTCATCACAATTTATCTTGTCATTCTTTTTTTTTTAAACCTAACAAGACATCATTCTTTCATCTTTTTCTAAGAAGAGGAAATAAATATATCATGCTGGGTATTTGAAACATAAAAGTTGTAAAGGGTTTGCTTTTCCATAAGTAAAACAATATGTGCTGCTGTGTCTACTAAGTAAGACAAATTAATTGGAATCCAGGGATATTTACAGTAGAGTTAAGAGGTTTACTCAATTACTGAGAAGAATATGGACAGATGGATTAAATACAACCAGTCCCCTGATTCTCATTAAAATGCAAAACCAATCCTTAAGGGCAAGAATGGATGGCGGTATTAAACTGGACATCATAAAACATAAAACACACAGAATTGCTATATTAGGAAAAGCCAGAAAACAGGTATACAGCCACATAAGACTTGTTAAAACCTCTCTCTCCCTTTTAAATTTATTAATACTTCCTCTTCTCTGGGGATATTTGAACTTCTACGGGAGCCCAAGTACTACAGTTCCCCTCTTTGCTTTCCCTGAGTGCCCGACTTTTAGGTATCAAGTCCAGAAATCCTTTCTCTTTAGGGTCGTTGCTGAGTGTCAGAATTCACCTTAAACATCTTGGAGAACAGAGCTATTGATAAAACTTAAAAATAAATAATATCCTCCTACCACTCAGAGGAGGTATATTCTTGATAGAAGGCTTTTACGTGGGAAGAAGGGATAGACTGAGTTTTTCAGATCTGGAATTTAGTTTGAGGTATGAGTAAGGAATACACAAGTAGCATGATAAAAGGAAAGAAAATCTATAATACTTTCTACATGTGAAAGGCTGTTGAAGCTCAGTCTGTCCTTGGCTTTCAACTGTATTATTTGGTTTTATTGCTTAATCTCAGGGTTTTGGATTTGAGAAGGGGGTGGCTTCCCAGTAATTCTCTTTGGGGCTGTAGTATATACTGTGAATTTGAACCATTTTTAAAACACAAACCTGAGTGTAAGTGGGGAAGAATTAAGTTCTCAAGAAAAAACAGTTCACTGCAGAACAAATAGCAATGCATCCTTCAGGACAAGAGCAGAGACCTAAGTGTTCAAGTGAAAAGTGTTCTTGGCTGGAATTCCCAGTGAAAGTTTTTGACATTTTGCTTGAAACAGTAATGGCCAAAGCTCTGAGAATTTTCATCCAGGCATGATTTTATTCATGTGTGATCTTGGACTCTCCAGGGTGAAGGGTAGGGGTTAAAGGAAGTGGGAGGCGTGGCAGGAAGGGTGAGGAATGTGCAGCAGGTGGTATTGAGGGTTTGATTCTGATGACTTTGCTGTCTTGGCCCAAAGCATACTTGATGTTTACCAACAGTGCCCCAAGTCGTTTGGCTGTGACCCAATGGCCCACAAAACGAAATGAGCTTTCTTTCTGGCGTTGTTAGCGCCCAGGATGGCTTCTCTGGGCTGAAAGCTGGTGGTTCTGCTGCAAATTCCAGGCTATGCATTTGGTTCCTGCCCTTCGTGTTTGCTGTAGGACCATCTTGGTTACCTGTAGCTATTCTTCTGTGATATTTTCTGGCCATTGGCAAAGGGTCTTTTCTCATGAGTTGGGCTTAAGTAATGCGGACTCCTCCTTTCTGTCATGTTTCAGTTTGGGGTAAAGGTGTGCTTTGGAAAAACAAGTTTGAGGAGGTGGGCAGAGCTTCATTTTGCAACTCAGTAGAGAGGACAACCACCCAATAGGTTACATGTGGGTGCGATGGAGGTTGATAAGAACAGAAGCATTCCTACTACAGTGTGGAAAATAGCAGGAGAGTTAAACTTTTAAAAATTCCTGTTTGCTCTTAATTTCATGGCTAAAGGATTACAATTTTTCGCAAACAGACAAACGTATTTAAAAATAAATACTTGGCCCTGGCCAGTTTGGCTCAGCGGTTAGAGCGTCGGCCTGCGGTCCGGAGAGACCCGGGTTCGGTTCCCGCTAAGGGCATGTACCTCGGTTGCAGTTTGTCCCCGGCCCTGGTTGGTTGTGCGGGTGGCAGCCACTCGATGTGTCCCTTCACGTCGATGTTTCTCTCTCTCTCTCCCTTCCTCTCTCTCCCTCCCGCTCTATCTGTACAAAAAATAGAAAAAATATCCTCAGGTGAGGATTAAAAAAAAATAATAATAATAAAAAAATAAATAAATAAAAATAAATACTTGGCTGGTTGCTCGGTGGCTAGAGTGTTGGCCCTTGAACCAGAGTCACTGGTTTGATTCCAGTCAAGGGCAGTACCTCGGTTGTGGTTCTGTCCCCAGCCCTTTGGGGTCATGCGGGAGGCAACCAATCAATGTGTCTTTCTCACATTGATGTTCCTCCCTCCCCTCTCCCTCCCCCTCTCCCTCTCCCCCTCTCCCCCTCTCCCCCTCTCCCTCTCCCCTCTCCCTCCCCCTCTCCCTCCCCCTCTCCCTCTCCCCCTCTCCCCCCTCCCCCTCCCCCTCTCCCCCCTCCCCCTCTCCCTCTCCTCCTCTCCCCCCCTCCCCCTCCCCCTCTCCCCCCTCCCCCTCTCCACCTCTCCCCCTCCCCCTCTCCACCTCCCCCTCTCCCTCTCTCCCTCTCCCCCTCCCCCTCCTCCCTCCCCTCTCCCCCCCCCTCCCCCTCTCCCTCTCCCATCAGAAGATAAATGGAAAAAATCCTCAGGTGAGGATCTTAAATAAATAAAATAAAATTGTAAGTAGTCAACTCAGCCATGAAGTTAATGCTCTTCCTGTGAAGAGTTGAAGCCTTATATTGAGTCTCCCAGGGATAACCCATCTGTCTGTGGCACGTGAACTCAAACTTCACAAGATTATGATGGTTTTTAGTATCTGAGTTAAAGCACATTTGGAAGTGGATTAATTATTGTGATGGACTCAAACAATGTTCAGTTTTGGGAAGTTATTGTGTATGTACATGCTTTTAAGTAGCATCTTTGCTGTACTGTGTGACATTGCTATAATTAATCTTTATAAAGTGCAAATTTAATTGTGTAAGTTCTAAAACATTTGGCGGATCCCAATGAATTACGTTAACTCTAAACTCTTCAGCATAGTGACCAAAAGCTCTTAAAAACCTTTCCTTTTTAGCTTCCTCTTCCTTTCAAGGGTCCTTCACAGTTCACACATTTGATTTCTTGCTCATGGATATTCATTCTCCTGGAATTCCCTCTTCCCGGAAAGTCCCTCTTGATTCTTGATGGTCTATTTCAAGTAGAACTTCTTTTTGTAGAATGTACCCAATTCCATGCAGAAAGAATCATTTCATTTTGTCTGTTTCCATGGTGTTTTGAACACACTTTGAATAATAATTTCTGTGTCTCCCACCCTAACCAACTATAGTGAGTTTCTTAATGGGTACATTGGTGGCGAGGGACCCACCTGTATTCTACCGTCCAGCCCAGTGTCTAAAATACATAGTAGACACTTGTTAATGTTGCCTTAATAAATGAGCAAGCAAAGTCATGTATGAATAAAGTACTAGTGGACCCCACTTTATGCATATCATTATTTACAAAAAGTTTATTTGAAAAATACCTACTTGGACTCACAGCTTATTTTTCTCAAAGTAACATGCTACAACACATAATTCAATTTCCAGACCAGTGTACACATGCCTATTTATTTACTACAACAGATGAAATGTTGTGTTTTTCAATTATAAAGCAAAAGTAAAACATAACAAAAAGCTACTGTGGAATCATCTTTTTTTTCTGGAAATCACAAAATATACTTGAGCTTAAAGATAATAGAAACAGTTATACTAGGTGCACATTTTCCACGATTGTTTTTCACATTACGCTATAAAATCTGTACTCTACCAGATCCCAGTGGGAGGTCCTGGATTTGATTTGGCTGTGAGGGTTGATAATGGAGTTAAATTTGGAGATTCTGTTGCCTGTGGAATGGGTGATAATCTTAATCAAACGAAATATACTAATTTTGGCTATTTAATAATTATCTTGAGAGCTAGGGCTTGAGAGAAACTGGATTTAATTAAAGGAGAATGTGGAGGTGGACGGAGAGGAGGAAATTCAGAGGGCCACCTTCTTTCATGTTGCTGATTCTTTATTATATTGATTTTCATTTCA